TTTAGATTTTTTATATTTAAAATATGATGTTTATCAGCAATTAGTTACACGAATTCATATGTGGAGCTTTAATAAGTTGTACTTACGCACAATCTATTTGTAATCTTGAGTTTTAAGTAATATGCATTAATAAGCAATACTTTACGCATAAAAAAGTAGTTTTTAAGTGTTTTTGTCAAATACTTTATAATATAGTATAAATTTTTTTAATAATTTAATTTAAGTTTAATAATGAAATAATTTATTTTTGGTTTAATAATATAACATTTTATAAACATAATAATTAAGTATTCTGTTAGAACTCAATGATTATCTTAATTATATTTTAGATTTTTTATATTTAAAAATGAGAAGTTTATCATGTATTTGATTGTGTTAATCTGCAGTTAGTTACACGAATTCAGATATGAAGCTTTAATAAGTTGTACCTATGCACAATTTATTTGTAATCTTGAGTTTTAAGTGATATGCATTAATAAACAGTACTTTACGCATAAAAAGTGGTTTTTAAGAGTTTTTTTCAAATGATATATAATAGAGAATATATATATATATATATATATAAATTTATATATAATTTAATTTAAGTTTAATAATAAAACAATTTATTTTTGGTTTAATATTATAAATTTTATAAAGAAAATATTTAAGTATTCTGTTAGAATTTAATGATCATACTAATTATATTTTAGATTTTTTATATTTAAAATGAGATTTTTATCCTTTATTTGATTGTGTTTATCTGCAGTTAGTTACATGTGTTCAGATATGGGATGAAATCGGATAGGGATGAAATCGTTTAGGGATGAACACGTTTAAGAGTTTTTAAGAGTTTTAAGAGTTTTTAAGAGTTTTTATCCAAATGTTTTATAAGATAGTATACATATTTGATTGTGTTTATCTGCAGTTAGTTACACGAGTTCATATATGGGATGAAATTGGATAGGGATGAAATCGTTTAGGGATGAACAAGTTTAAGAGTTTTTATCCAAATGCTTTATAAGATAGTATAGATAAATTTGTACCAATCATTTCATTAAATAATATTTTAAATAAAACTTTATTAAAACTCATCCAAAAGGACATATATGTCATTTGTTATGTATAAATTATATATGAAAATTCATTTATTTATACAAAAATTATTTAATAAATTTAGTTAATTTGTGATTTAAGCATGATTAATTTTTTTATAACATTTAAA